ACTGTTGTTATTAAGAGATTAGAAAAAATCTTTACTTTGTGACTCTTTCAATATGGTCGTCTGACAGAAATATATATTACCTCCAATGTGTTTCATAGTCTGATGAAGGCTAAAAGGATGAAACATTAGCATGTTTGTTGGCTTGGCCAAATAAATTGGTATATTTGAGAATTGTCACACAAGTTTTATGTGTTTGCAACCTATTTCCTTTGGGTATTCAGTGCTGGAGTATTTACAAAATGCTTTGGCTCCACTGTTGTTAGTATCATTAACTGAATTTGTCAGTTACAATAACTATGAGGATTTCTGACTATTTAAGTTTAAAAAAATAAACATACCCTGTTTCCCAATGCACTATGACCTCTCAGTTTGTCTGAACCAGCATTTGGCTTGCAGAGCAGCAGATGCCAGCTGTTTGCTCATCCTTACTGGAAGTCCAGCATCAGTTTGCCAAAAGGCCCCACAAAAAACATTTTCAGACTAGCATATGTGTTAATATTAACCCTGTAGGTACAAGGGGATAATTATCCGTTTTTGGCTACTCATAATTTTTCCATTATATTTCAGCTTTAAAAGGGTCAGCTTTGTCATTTGGTATCATTCTTTCCAGAACAATCTTGCGTCTGATTTTGCATTTATTTTTTTCGTTTTGACCTAAAATCGCACAAATATAAAATAAGACTATGGAAATTTTTATTTTTTTTCTGTGAAAACCACAAGCATGTTTAACAAATCATTCTATCAACTTGTCAATTTCAAAAACCTATGCATAAATTTAGGAAACAACAAAAGTATATACAACTATTTACATAATAATGCAGGAAATGCCTCTGGAATGTTGTGTACAAACTCTTTACAGTACAAAAAGATGTTTGTGTCACTCCAAAAAAATAGTTCCTGTCCACCAAATGACAGACAGGTAATTCACAGATTGACCAACAGCCTTGTTTACAGAGCCTTAAAATATAAGAGGAGAAAAAGAAAGCAAATACAGAAAGAATTGTTTTTTAAATGTCTATATGTCTCCAGGAGAAAGGTGGATCTCTTTACAAACACTGAAGGAGACGAGTTAACCAACTTGGAACTTCCACTGTTGGACGAAGAGGAAGACTCCAACTCTGCAATGCCCCCGCCATTTTATACTGTATAGCACAGAATCACAACTACAGCACGGTCACCTCAAAGCACTATATTGTGAGGTAAAGACCCTTCAATAATACAGAGCCACAGTGTTCCTGCTCATTGCTCTGACCTGTGGGTAATTAAGCTGTCAACTTATAAGGCCAGCGCTCTCGACTTCTCTTTGCGAGATTCTCAGCTAACCGGAGTTAGTGCAGGCCAACATAGTGTTTTGTGAACGTCATAGTAAATTACCTTTTGATTCTCGTTCATAGCTACTCACCAGATTGCCAGACACCAACCTTCTCCATAAAACCTGCATTTGGATGCTGGACCTCTCAGCAGTCTTTATAGCCAAGGCTATTGCTCACTCCACGCACCTGCCTACCTCAACTTCAGGAGTTTTGGATTCCTTACCACTCTCCCCTTCTTGCTACTGATCCACCTGTGGCAAGTAAACAGCTTAAAGGAACATTCAGAACCATCATCTGACAGCAATCACCTTGAACCATACCTGAGCTTGTTTACTCTTATTTCAGTGACTCTGACCCCCCTGGACCCTGCCATCCAGTCTGACTTCCCCTTTGGCCCCAAAATCACAGAACTGCAGTTCTTGTTTTTCTTGTTGCGTGCATAGCTCAGGTTCCATAAGTGCTCAAAACTTTAGCATTGTTCATGGCACATGTTAATACTCATTGCTCACAGTTCAGTTTAATAGTCTCGTTGCACATTCACTTACTTTGAAAATAAACTTTGTTACTTAAACATTAACCAGTTCTCCGCCTGCGTCCTGCATTTGAGTCCTTTTCTCCCGAGTCGGCCTACAGCCATGACATAGGCGGGCCCAGAGGCCAGTAGGTAACATGGACCCAAGCACAGATACAGACACAGACAACAGAAACTAAGTTTTAACAAGACTTTATTTACAGATGTAAACTTGTACATAAAGGAAAATGTGCGTGGGGAAACTTGTCATGTGTGTGGTCTTACATTTTGTGTGCTATGCATTTAATGCATACATTGTGTTCTGGCCACAAGAAGCTTCCACTCCCAAGTGGTAAATCCAGGCTCGGCTCTTCTTTAGGCAGTCTTCTTCAGAGAGATTGGCTGTGGCTCAGGATATAGAGCAGGTTGTGCAAAAAGTTGCTGGTTATATGGTAAATGGCCTGTATTTATATAGCGCTTTTACTAGTCCCTAAGGACCCCAAAGTGCTTTACATATCCAGTCATTCACCCATTCACACACACATTCACACACTGGTGATGGCAGCTACGTGCAAATCGGTCGTCTGACCTGGGTATAGGGGCGAAAGACTATTCTTTTGGAGGCACTATATCCTTGGTGCCTCCAAGCTGCCAGATGACGTGTGGACAAGGAACCGAATCCTGAGTTGCTCAAGATGCACACTGGATTGTGGGTCTGTTCATGAATATTAGACACAGAGCTTGAATAATAGTACCCTATGAATGTATGTTGGATTGGGTGAGTGAGGCTTGTAGTAAAAAGCCCTTTAAATATTCAGAAAAAGAAAAATGCTATGTGTTATATAAGTGTAAAACTAAAGTTAGTTCAAAGTTAGTGCAAGACAGAAGTGCAAATGCATTAATAAATAATATGTACCATTTAAATCTAAGAAAAACAGCTTCATTGGTAGGAATCATTTCCTAAAGCATTCTTTATGGCAGCGAGGTTGAATCGATCTCAGAAAAACGGGGCTCTGCTGCCTCAACAGTGTGGAGTGGAGCAGGTGTGATGGGTTGTCCTTGATGGAGAGCCGTTTGTTCAGTGACCTCCTGTCCCTCACTGAGTCAAACGCCTCCAAATTCTGACCAATGATATCGCAGTTTTTTTCCTCAGAAAGTCAACTCCCATCTCTTTAGTCTTGCTAACATTCAGAAGGTGGTGACAGCCATCCTGAGCAGCTTCTCACTCAGAAGAAGTAGCTGAATGGAATTAAAGCACTGGAGAAATTTTAAAAAACAAGATTCTAACAATGCCACCTGTACCATCCAGGTGAGAGTGAGCACACTGCAACAGCTGGATAACAGCATTCTCACCACTTCAAGAAGAAGGTTAAGCAAACTGAAGAAGGTCAAAACTTTATGCCATGTTGTCGATTAGGCTCAACTGTGTGGCAACACTGGACCATGTGCCTATTGATCCAAAAGAAGAGAGGGTGTACAACCTGTTTATTTAACAACTGATAACTTTATTATGCGTGTGTGTGTGTGTGTGTGTGTGTGTGTGTGTGCGCGCGCGCGCACATGTGGGTAGCAGGCTATAAATTGTGACCTCTCCATCTCTACACAGCTCTTTTTGAAGCTCGAGTGTGGCAGTGTGTAAGAGAATCGTCCCAGGCCTTTACCATGAAGACCTGCGTGCTGTTATCACTGCTGCTGGCATTGGGTTGTGTGACCATCAATGGTGCACCAGTGGAGCATGGTGGCATGGAGCCAGGCTCATGTGAAGACGCATCAACAAAAGCAGCTGCTGAACTGACTCTTACCAAAATCAACCAGGACAGGAAGGAGGGCTACGTCTTCAGCCTGCACCACCTGTCCAACGCCCACATAAAGAGACATGTAAGCCATGCTGCGGAGCTTGGAGCATTATTACTGTATGGTAGACCAGTGCTGTTTAGGGTGGAATTACTTTCTAACAAAGTACCAGATAAGTTCAGTTCATTGTTGTTCTGTTTTATTGTTGGAACACTTTTAGTTTTCAACACAACTGAAAATCATTTAGCTGAAATCTAGAGAGAGAACAGCAATAAATACTGTACAATTACAATGGGTTTTTTGCATTAACAGTTGCATCTTTTACAGTGTGGCTAACAAGCAAAGCATTATTAAAAAAAATGTACAGATGTGATTCATTTAAAACTACATGACCAAACATCTTTGAGAACAAGTAAGGAGCTCAAAATACTTTATTGAAACCTGCAAATCTTTTTATTCCTGTGGCAAACAAAAAATAACTAAATGTAGAAAATAGAAAAGTTTGCATAAAGTGTTCACTGGAATTCTGTTAAATTTGGTGAAACAGAGATGAATCACATCCACTTTTATGAAGGTGGACTGAGTCAGCCTGTTTATTGAAAATGATATGATTGACTAGCCTGAAAAATAGTGTTTGTATTTTGCTAACACTACCTGGTCGAAAAGGGTCAAGATTGAAAATCTCAATGATTTTTTCAAACTTGACAGATTGAGAATCAGGTGGAAAATGAATTATCACTACACCGTGAAATATCATGGATTACACAAACTCAAACCAGTAACCACTCATGATAAATTCCATAAGAGTTTCATTGACTGTAAATGTTGTTTGATAAAGTCTGTGTGTGTGTGTGTGTGTGTGTGTGTGTGTGTGTGTGTGTGTGTGTGTGTGTGTGTGTGTGTGTGTGTGTGGGTGTGTGTGTGTGTGAGTGGGGGTGGTGGGGGTGGCGGTGCATTTTCTGTGTGCATCTCTTTCATTTTGCATAATGCAATTCAGTGAAATGAAATGCAAGAGAATCTGTGAACGCTGGCTGCCACAAAGAGTTACATCAGCAGGATGGAGAACAGAGCAAAACAAAACTGTGCCTTCTGTCTGACTTGTTTTCTCACTCTTATCTGCCTGCTATTCTAAAGAGGCCAACACCACAATAACATCGTGTCTTGCAGTTTACAATCTGCCATCAATTATATATTTCATCTGCTTTGTTGTCTTTGTTTAAGTCGAGGATGCATGGTCGCTTGAGAACACTGATTAA